CGTTTCCGATCATGCTAGGCAGGGGCTTATCCTGCAATAGCTGCTCCTCCTTGAGTCCAAGACTCGACAAAACATCTTCACCGCCTGTCCCTTTGCTGGACGAACACTCATGATGGCGGTGTATCCAGCAATGGAGTACCTGTCGCGAAAAATACTACAAGTCTGGTGCGCGGCGTGATACGCCGGTGAAACTTGGCAGGAAACTAAATTGGACGACGGGGAACACGATGGAACTAAAATCAAACCTGTATCAGGCAGCGCAAGAGATGAAAAAGGCGACTGAACATACGCTAACTTGTCGGCGGCCATACTCCCAGCTCCGTAGGCGCAGCGCGCCCGCACAAACGCGGATACGAAAGTTCATCTTCTATTTTCGTGGCAATAGTCACGACCAAGCTTGTCACTGACGTCTTCAGGTCACATTTGAATATCCCGCGTGCCAAGTACTGCACGCTCTGGCCGCGACTGGCATTCTGCCGTACTGGCCTTTTGTGCCATCATTTCAGCTGGTTGCTAGGGAATCCAGCGACAAGCGTGGAGGTCACGTGGCACGGCACTCTGACATCGCTACTAATAGGGAGTTCAATCACGTGACCGGGCACATACATTGGGTCTCTACACGCGGATGTACGCATGACGTGGCCAGGTGGGCAGCGTCGCGTTTTTTTGAATGTTTTGCTGCAAGCTCAAATTTTTGATCAAGAAGACGGCCATTTCCTGGTTCGTGAAGACAGTAGCTTTTGTTTGGTGTGTCGCTTGCCTTCATTGAACCGTTTTCAGACGTCCAAAGTTCTGGAGGAACTTTTCGATCGTGTTTTTCAGTATTTTCTTTTGGTTGCTCGCCGAGGAAACGCTCATATTCGTGTAGAGCACCCTCGAATTTAGTAAGATCGAGTCGTCCTGCAACTTCAGGAAGTAGCAAAAGTCTGCAAAATTACCTGAACGATGGCAAGTCACACAGAAAAGGAGACAGGTGACAGCAGCAAGGACGTCGTTGGAGATATGTGTAAAGTGCTGGGTGTGTAAAGTGCTGGGTTTGACTCGGACGTCGCTGCTAAATTCAGTGGAAAACAACGATGCATTTACGTCGCTGAAGCGTAGTGCTGAGAACTTGTCCAATGGTCTTGTGTTGGAGCTTTTCCGATTAAAAGAAACGGAGAAACTGACGTTCAAGGCTTTCACAACATGGCTGGAAGGAATATCTGGGAGAGAATGTTCAACTTTAAATTCGAAGGCAGTGTCTGGCAAAGTGAACAGACTGAAGACAGACGTACTTACCTCCTGAAAGCAAACAAAGAGCAGTAGCATTTGCCGTCTGAGCAGGTATTTGAGCTTCCAGCTGGTGTGGCAGCCCTCCGCACTGTTGCTGAAAAACGAAGTGCGCTGAGGGCACAGCTTCTGTTCCGTAAAACTTTGTGCACCATGATGCACCAGCTGCCACATTCTCCCTCTCGAAGGATGGGCGGCAGCACCCCGTGGAGAAGCTGGTGGACAACCTGAAGTCCCTGCTACCTGCCATAGTTCTCGCATCTGGTATCACAAATTCGGCCACCACATCCCGCCGCCGCAACTGGGCCGGCAAGGTCTGTACTGGCACCCGGCACTACTGATCCTGACCAGGACTCTGGGGATTTGGAGCCAGCTCCAAAGCGCGTACCAAGTGTTGCACCATAAAAACCTGACTTATTGCATTTCCAGGAGTTACTAAGTACATGGTCGTCTATATCTTGGCCGCCGTCACCAGACACGGTGTCGCAAATATCTAACACTGCTGTAAAACATAAAACTCTTCAATGCCACTCACGTTTTGTTGTTTCATCTTCTCTAATCCACTGCTTCTTCATTAACAATATGCTTGGTGTTCAGAATTACCTTTCCTGCAATGATATATTCCTGGTTTTCCTAATATCCATATCCGATGTATGCGGTCAGAGCGGTTGCCATGGTGGTTGCTATGGACAGAATTTGAAAGTCTGTAACTGAATTTGAAAATTAATTTTCATTTGGTATCCTACAGACTGTGTTTACTCCTTGGGTGGAGTTTCAAGACAATCTGGAGAAGTTCATCGGTTGCTATGTGTAGCTAGGGCTGGTCCGAAGATGCCTTTGGTGCCATGCGATGTATGCACTTTCATGATGAATTTGCCGCGACTTCAAATCACCATAACTCTGTTGTTTTTCAAGGTATCCACTCCAAATTTCGGCTGCTACTTGGTTTTACCCCATACGTTTCAAAAATCCGCTTAGAAATGGCCAGCTGCCAACATGAAAAAATCATGTGAACTCCCTACTACTAACAGGAGCGAGGCTCGAACGAGGTACTTGTACACAAGAGAACAACACGGGACTTCAATGCCACGAAGCGAAACAATTATTTGAAAATCCCAAATCGAAGACTAGTACCAGGAGAACTACGTACAAGGTACAAAACATTACGCAGGGCAGACAAAGCAGGCTCACCTGAGTAGGAGCTCCGAGGACAGGGTTGAGCAGATGGAGCAAAGCGGAGCCATGGCGAGGACGCGTGGAGAAGGCAAGATTTGAAGCCACGGCGAAAACGAAAACGATCTCAGGGTCGTGGGGAACGATGCCACTAGCTGGGTGCCAATTGTCGTCGGGGGGTTTTATTCCCTCGCACGATAGCCCTTCCGATTACTCTCTTATTCATTCATCACACATACGCCACACTCAGAGGACAGATTATCATTGTTGCTCCAAGGAGAGTCTCAGGAAGAAGGCACCCAAAACAACCAGGATGCGCACGATAAGCATGCAAGCATGCGCACAACAACAAGAACATGTACGATAATCTCCAACCGGCGCAGTCCGCGCGCGGTCCGCACCAACGTGCCAAAAGGGGCACACACGTGCCAAAAGGGCACGGACAACATACTTCCACATGAAAAAAAATGCATCCTCTCCTGAGGATGGGAGAGAAGAAAACAAAACGAGAAGACAGGGTCGTGGGGAACGATGCCACTAGCTGGGCGCCAATTGTCGTCGGGGGGTTTTATTGCCTCGCACGATAGCCCTTCCGATTACTCTCTTATTCATTCATCACACATACGCCACACTCAGAGGACAGATTATCATTGTTGCTCCAAGGAGAGTCTCAGGAAGAAGGCACCCAAAACAACCAGGATGCGCACGATAAGCATGCAAGCATGCGCACAACAACAAGAACATGTACGATAATCTCCAACCGGCGCAGTCCGCGCGCGGTCCGCACCAACGTGCCAAAAGGGGCACACACGTGCCAAAAGGGCACGGACAACACATGTAATCGCTTTGCACTGTTTGTACGCGCAACGTGAACTGTGCAAAACATGCCGCTTGAAGTGAAGCTCTGCAGAGCATCTCTACGTAGGGAACGTGCAGGCAGTTGCACATTCTTGAGGGTTATGCACTCTTGGAGTCACCAGTCGTCGCCGCCATGTACCAGCCAGCAAAGCCATGGTTCACGGGTGCAACGCTTACCCTTGCTATACCGTAAAACATCTTATTCCCGTAGCTATGCAAAAGACGTTACTTCAGTAACGTCTGGCGCTAGCCAGGGTCCACACAGCTTTAATTTCGTGTTTGTTTGTTTGTGCCATCGGCATGCCTGGCGCTATCTAGTACCTGTCCCGTACAGTACCGTACCATCAAAGACAGCTGGCCACAATATTCAAATAGGGCTTTCAAATGCAAGATCATAACGGGAAGCAACTTGGAAGAATCAGTATGTATGCGAAGTGTTTCGGGGGAATGCATGGAGGGCAATAGTGCGGTTCTAATCCTAGGTTATGGCTTGAAAAAAAAAGGAGAAATGAAAAAACATCCCTATGCTTTTTTTGCCTAGGTCATCAAGGTGGTAGACTGTGTCGTATTACCCTTGAATGCAAAGAGAACGTTTGATGTAGCCAATCAATGGAAAAACAAACATTTCCATCAGTTCTAATAACATGCATGATGAGCTAGGCAAAAAGGCGTAGTGGAGGGCCCTGAGCTTCCAAGCTCTCTCATTTTCGGTGCAACTTTAATTTCGGTGATTTCGGTAGAGAAACCAGGCACCTAAATTTAAATTACACCTAAAGGCACTAGAGTACGATGCACGGTAAATGAAGGGAAAGCTGGTCACCTAATTCTACATTACACCGGAAACCTGGCAGGTCCCTGGCACCGAAATATTAATGCACCTAAAAATATACCTTATACAGTATTGCAGTGGGAGGGCAACATCTGAAAGTGCACTCCTATCTCTCTTATCTGCACCTCCAAGTCACGGCCACCCTGGTCTGCCGTGCACACCGTGGGGGGGGGGGGGGAGAGTTTTACTGGAAATATTATTACTCCTTTTGCCAATTTTTGCGAAAACAGTGGCACCATACTGTAATTATGCCAGATCTCTGGCCCTTCCGCATTGAAACGTATGTGATTCTGAGTGACTGCTGTTTTCTGATCATCACTTAATAATAATAATTTTCACATCGGAAAATATCTCCATTGCACACCGTACATAACAGGCTCTCAGCTGCATCGAATAGATTTCCTAATGCCAATATTTCGCCCATTGGGCATCTATAATAGTAATAATAATATTCGCGGGATGCGTGAAACTCGAAAACACTTTTTTCGTCCCCTTCTTATTGTTTGATTCAGAGTCACGAACATTTCAAGCAATGGGCAGTGCCCACTCCAAAACTGCACGGATAGGAGAGGTACGGGTGAGAAAGGAAGAAATCAAGTCACTGCAAAGTGGAGAGAGGAAGGGACGGGCAACGAATCGGTGGAAACAGACTGCACGAAGACGCGGACAAAAAACTACAGCGCTGGCCAGAGAAAGCCAACCTCATGAATAAAGTAGCGCTGCGTTCAGTTGCACAGACCAGTGTGTGTAGTGCTAGGGCTGCGTAGCGCCCGGCAATGCTATCTATTTATGAGGTGTTGGATTTCTTAGGCCAGTACTGTACATGCACTGGCACTCAGAGAAGTCAATAAATCCGTGATCATAGACGTACGGGTTCTGACGACAAGCGTTTCATTGCCCACTTGCCGTTGAAGGCCTGATTCAGCACATTCGTGTATTCCTTGATGGGAACCGAACGCCAGCCTGAAAGCAGAGAAGAGGAGAACAAAAGCAAAGTCCATATACATGAATACGTATGAAAGAGGAATAAAATCAGTTTCAAGAATAGATCCAAGCATGCCTACATGTACAGCTATGAATCATATCAAGAAACAGTAAGTCAGCAGTCAAAGCATGCCTGCCTGCATGGCAATGAAAATTTTAAGGGTGCCATCGAGTAGCAGGGTACCCGTGCTACCCGTGATTTGAGCGGGTATTCGGGTAGCAGCTTGCTCCTGACAACCCGATCGGGTAATTGGAGTATGGTGTTTTCGCAACGGTGCATGTCAACAGCACAACTACGTGCTTATTACAGAGGTTCCGGAGTACGCTTTTTCGTGTCAAAATCCGTAGAGGCACTATCGATTTTCTATAACGTCGTTTTCGAGCAGTGAAATGTTCCGGAGTACGGAACTTATGTGTTTGCCGTCATTGCCTAGGTTACAATCGCAAACACGTCATATTCCCGCGCTATGCCTTTTTATTTTGAAACTTTGTACCGAAATCAAAACTTCCCGCGGAAAATTGATGTTTCTCGTACCAAATCTGTACACGAAAATCTTTCTGCACTCGATGACGCAAAATCTCCATACGAAACATGGGTCGTATGAAAGCCAGTCCACACGGATTCTCCGTGCCAAAAAATCGTATGAAGTACGCCTCGAAAAAATCCGTAGCGCTCATACGGATTTTGGCACGGAAAACCGTACCCCGGAACCTCTCTACTATACAATGTCTACGTAGTGCAAGTGCACGCTCACTGTCAAGTACAAACTTCCGTATTTCCCCGTAAGTAAGTTCTCCCCAATGACGTAGTACCCCCCTATAAAAAATACACTTTCCACTGCCGAGGTTATCACCCCGAAAGACAATGCAGTGGCGTTCGGCAAAGCAAGTGGATTCCTGGATGAGAAAGGAAACAGGTCACACCCGCAGCAACTTATTCCTGCGCGGTGTATTGCTGGAATTGTGAATTCGTCCTTGGCCGTGTTGTTCGGACCTGAGTGGCCAGTCGTCATGCGGTGATGGTGTAGTGTTGTTAGCTTGCTGTGCACACTCCTTGTCGCTCGTGAAAGTACGTCTTGTGGAGCCCTTGTGGGACGTTCGGTGCCCACCCTCCAGCTCAAGATTGTGCTTTCCTGGTTCATGAAGGCCGAAGCAGTACGCGCACAGAAGTTAGAAGAGAGGTTAAGTTTCACGTAAAAATCTTACGTCCGTGAACTTCTACATCAAAAATTCAAAAAAACTCAACACACGGCGAGGAGACAATAATTTGTATTAAGTATTAATTTGACGTGTTTTACGTGAGTTGACTGTCCACGGCTGTCAAGAAGCAGCACGTCTTTACATTATCACCAGTAGCGACCTCCCGATACTCATCAGATCATTGTGTAGGATGGTCGGCAGTTCTGTTCTCGGTCAGCCTCTATAGCCAGTCGTCAGGTCCCATACGCTGAAGTAGGCCTGCATTGCTACGTGTGCTAGGACGTCTCCGTCCAACCGCAGGACATGGCCGATTAGCCACGTCTGGCTTTTGCGATTGAGACGGATACCGTAAGTCTGAAAATTTGGCCAAAAATGCCCAAGCCGAAAATAACCGAAAACAAATACAGCTTATCTCACATGTCCTTATTGGCTGGTGGTGCGTTCTTGCGTAGATGCATGCGTATACAAGATTATTTTAAATAAGGGGCCGTCCGTAATTATCGATCTTTTTCATGAAGAGAAAAAAGTTTCGTTTATGGGTGGATGGGTTGAGGAGAGTTTCGTTTGGAAAATGATTGATAGCTGAAACATCAATCCATTCTAGCTGTCCAGTCAGTATATTTTTCGTTGAAGGGGGTGGGTGGGTGGGGAAGGGTCATACTTTTTCGTTTCGTGAAAATTATCGATAATGCCGGATGGCCCCTAAATACGCGCCGAATATAATTATTTGTTGACCTACAGGACTCCTCGGTCAGTGATGCACCTACTTGAAGTAGTGTTTAGGTCAGCGTGTAAGATTATCTGAGGCCAATGGATTCCAACAACACTTTTCAGTTGCTTCCGACGAGGATTGATTGGAACAAGAAAACCGATTCTGGAATGTACACACCTTAACTCCAAACAACTAACGAATACTAGTCCCAGAAGGGTGCGGGGTAAGCGGAGGGAAACGGAGGTGATCGGACTGGAGAGGGCCAGACAAGGAAAGCCGAGTGGTCTAGCGTACATGCCAGTCACTTTCACTGGTGTGTGTTTTCAAAAACAAAAGTAGTTCCAAACGAGAGAGCTTGGAAGCTCAGGGCCCTACAATATGCTTTTTTGCCTAGCGAGAGTCAACTTTCTCTTCGCATTCCAGGGTAATGCGACACCGTCTACCACCTTGATGACCTAGGCAAAAAAAGCATAGGGATGCTAAAACAATTCGTTTCTCCTTAAGACATACCCTAGGATTCGAACCCGCAATATCGCCCTGCATTCATTCCCCGATACACTTCGCATACATGCTCATTCTTCCAAGTTGCTTCACGTTATGATCTTGCATTTGAAAGCCCTATTTGAATATCGTGGCCATCTGTCTTTGATGGTACGGTACGGGACAGGTACGGGATAGCACCAGGCATGCCGATATCGCGATGCTGTCCTTGATGGTACGGTACGGGATAGCGCCAGGCATGCCGATATCGTGATGCTGTCCTTGATGGTATGGTACGGGACAAGTACGGGATAGCGCCAGGCATGCCCATGGCACAAACAAACAAACAAACAAACAAACACGGAATTAAAGCCGTGTGGACCCTGGCTAGCGCCAGACGTTACTTTTTGCATAGCTACGGGAATAAATAAAATAAACTTCCAATTGGCATCGTACCACTTGAACCGCTGTGTTTTCATGAATGCCGAAACCTGTGTTTAGTAACGCATGGCAGCGCAAGCGCACGCATCAGTTCTGAGCACAACCCAACACAACAACAAGATTGCTATCATGGCCACTGCTAGCACATACCTTGCCTGCTCGCGTGAAGCGCCCCACGTTTCAAGTTCTGTTGCAAGATGGTAACCTGTTCTTTAGTTAGAGGCGTTGGGGTCTTGAAATGTGCTCTCTCAGCCACTTCCATAGTTATGCGGCCCTTGGGCCTGCACAGCCAGTCACATCCGCCAAACATTAATAGACACATACACATACACACCCAGGCATGCAGACACACAGATGCACACAACAAGGCAGTTCAACAATGCAGTTCAATAGCCAATTGAGCATCTTTTCCATACTCCTCGACCTAAGGCTCTCTCTCTTTCCCTCTCTCTCTCTCTCTCTCTCTCTCTCTCTCTCTCTCTCTCTCTCTCTCTCTCTCTCTCTCTCTCTCTCTCTCTCTCTCTCTCTCTCTCTCTCTCTCTCTCTCTCTCTCTCTCTCTCTCTCTCTCTCTCTCTCTCTCTCTGTCTGTCTCTCTCTCTCTCTCCCGGGGGTGACCCTGTTGTGCTGTTGTGTGCGTGCATGTGTGTGCGCACGCGTGCGTGTGAATGTGTGCGTACGTGTGTGCATGTGTGTGTATGTTGTGAAACCACAAGTTCTCGAGAGTGAAAGGCCTTCTCGCTTGTGACATTGTGTTCGTTTCAATGCAGTTGTATCCCGACTCCGCCGTACCGTTGATGTTTACAGCGTAGTATACGCTACATGCGCTATGTGCGGTTTGCTGTGTGCGCTGTAGTTGTATGTTGTATGTGTATGCCTTTCTCGTATACGCTGTCATTTCACGCTATAACTACCTGGTGGTTTCAGTTGTTTCAGTTGTTCATTCATTGTTCATTGTTATTAGTCGATGGAAGTGAAATATATTGTTGAGAATAAATAGTTGTCCTCGTGCCGTGTGGGGTCGTTCGTTCCTGACACTTTAGAGAACCAGAGGGTTCACAACAGTGTATGTGTGCGTGTGCGCGTGCGCGTGCATGTGTGGTGTGTGTGTGCTTTCGTAAGGGTCGATCCTGCACAGACATGGTGTTTGCAGTTTGCCAAGTCCTGGAGGAATTATATGAATATCGCTGCCCGGGATACGTTGTCTTTGTTGATTTACGTAAGGCGTATGACTCGGTAAACCGTGAATGCATGTGGCTGGTTCTCGCGAAGGCAGGGGTCCCTAGCAACATCGTAAATATCATCAAATCGTTTCACACCTCCATGCCGGCTACCCTCTCCATCGGGTCAACACCCATTCAACCGATTGCAGTGAAGAGTGGTTTGCGGCAGGGCTGTTGTATGGCACCGGTTTTATTCAACATATTCATGTGGGCTGTTTTTCAGAGATGGTCCAGAGTGGTCGAGCTTGTGCATGGTATTAGCGTCCCGATGGCATACAATCCTGGGGGCTCGCTTTATTTCAAGAGAAAAGCGAAATGACAATCAGACTACCATCAACGATTGCCAGTTCGCTGACGACTCTGCACTGTTTGCCACTACCCGTACTGCTGCTGCTCTTGCTCTGGATATGTTCATCGATGTCTCGTCTGCATTTGGTCTGACCGTCAATCTGGACAAGACCAAATTTATGGCTGTGGGCTATGGTATCAAGGATGATGACCGACGTCCTCTTCCTGTGAAGAATGGCACATTGGAATGTGTGCGTGAGTTCCGGTACCTGGGTGCTGTTATCCATGATTCTGGCCGATCTCACAAAAATGTATCGACCCGTGTTTCATCTGCCTCCCGTGCTTTTGGTGGGGGTAATTTGGAGCGCTCCGTCATGCTGTGTTCAATGACCACAATCTCTCTCTGCGCACCAAGGGTCTGGTTTTCGAGGCCTGTGTTCTGTCCGTACTGCTCTATTGTGCGGAGACGTGGGTACCGCTGCAAAGTGATGTGCAACGGATCACGTCCTTCTACTACCGGTCGCTTCTTTCTATCTTGAGTGTTGCACAGAGGGATGTGTGGGACTTGAAGATAGCCAAGGACACCATCCTAAAAACATGAAATGCAGCAAACCCACTGGATATCCCCGACCACCTCATGCAGAGAAGACTGGAATGGCTTGGGCACGTGGTACGCATGCCTGAGGAGCGGATGCCGCGGATGTTGTTGTTTGGCACATTGCTGCCGCCACGTCCAGCATGTGGCCCGCGGAAACGATGGCGAGACACAATTAGGGTCGACCTGCGACGAATAAACATCGCCGACGAGTCATGGTTTGACACAGCGCAGGAACGATCTGAATGAGTGGTGGCAAGCTTATCAAGCGATACAACCAGCTCAGAACCTGCCCGGGAGATAGTCTGCGAGGTGTGCCAGCGTGCATTTCCTCGGCAGCAAGATATCGCCCGCCACAAGTGCATTATGGAACGACATAAACCAGTCCAGCAGCAAGCCAACAGCCGCCAGTGCTCCCAGTGTCTCACTGTCCCATTTGTGAACGTTGCTGCAAGTCGATCCGGGGCTTTGCTATCCACAACTGCAACCGATCCACCAGGCGCCCAACTGCTGATGAAAGGGACAAGTTCCAATTACAGTACGGAGCATCAGCAAATCGAATATTCGAGTGAAATTCGAGAATCGCGACGAAAAGCACTCAATCAGTCGAAACTAGGGCTTTGTTCGACTGAAAAATGCCCGCAAACAGAAAATACTTTTCGAATACTTTTCGAATGCTCCGCGCTGCCTCTAGTACACGGCGCACTACGACTACGAGTACTCATACTTGCGCATGTAGCTACTAGTTCTTACTAAAGACTGAAGTACTACTACTACTAGTCGTAGTTGTACATGTCAGTGCACAAGGCACAGTCCAACCGGAATTCTTGACGCTTTCCTCTCTCTCGAACAGTGAAAAGTTTTGTCAAGACTAGTGTGCTTTTTGTTTCATTTCAAGGATCCTGGAATCATGGCTTTGTCACCAACTACCAGCCCCGGTATGCCTCCTGCTCCCAGTACTGCAGTAGCCCTGCTGGCGTTGTCTCGGCATCTGCGTCTATGATGAGTTCCCCGCAGGGAGAGGGCAACTCAAAGTGTGCCAAATATTTGAGGTTCGACCTTACTATGGATCTCATTCTGCTGAGGCAGTGTAGGGCCCACCCTCAGCTATTCGTCCGCGGGTCTCCTGATATGCAAGGGATAGCGGAGGAGCTCGGCCGAGATCCGCCTTTTCAAGGGGTCTCCAAGAGAGATCCTATCGCCAATACTGCAATAGCCTGAATCGGATGAAGCATCCGCCGCTTCGCGTCATCCCCAAAGGCAATGAGAAACAGCAGCAACTCCGTTTGGTCCAGGTGACCTTCAGCGAACTCAAGGAAGAGAAGCGAATCCAACAAATCGACTTGCTCTGCAACAAACGCAGCCATTGCACATCTCAAAATCCCAGTCCTCAACTGCTCAAGCTAAAAAAAACTCGATTCGAAAATACTGGACTGCGCTTCATATGCTGAACCTCTTTTTCATTCGAATTTTCTCTCTGATTTTCTTTTTGCCATTCGAATGATCAAATCGAAAATTCGATTTGCTGATGCTCCGTAATGTCAAAATTGCCAAAGGTGTTTCAAAAGGCGAAACGACTTATCCCGTTGTGTGCAGGAGGGTCTAGTCGTCTGAGAGCGCAGTGTAGTGGTGGAGGTGATACTCAACATTTTTTTAATAAATATAACGCGACCTAAAATTCAACCATGCAATGCCACACAGTGTGCAAAATGAATTTTTGGATCTGAGAAACTGGCTTACCGAAATCTTCACGCTACCGAACCGTTGATATTTCCCAAAAAAGCACTTATATTCCTTCAGACAGCTGTTTCGTTAATACATAGCTCATCAGTCCACAAAGGAAGAAACAGTTCTGTCCGCAGATTGAGTACCGTAAAAGTCCGTAAATAAGTACCTGCCCGAAAGAAATACCCCCTTCATTCTTTTGGCTCTGTCTGGTGAAGTCAAGTCAAGCCCGATAAACATACTGCCCGAAATAAGTACCGTTACGATGCGCACATGCAGCACGTAGCATGTACATCGACATGAAAATGACTTCTCCGCTACACACAAGTCAGGTCCGAAAGTTAGTCCGTGCCCGAAAGTCAGTACCCGCCCGAAAGTTAGTACGGGTGTGGTCACTAAATTCAAAAGTAAATACGTACTTATTTACGGACTTTTACGGTAGCTCATCAGTGAAGGTAGATGTTGAATGATGAAAATATACAAGACCAAACTGCTATTATGTACGTGTTTTCACATACAAAACTGGCATAGCTGAGGTGATAACATGGGGGGGGGGGGTAGTTTACAGGTCTTCATGGCGCTCGGACAAGAAGTACAATACACAGACTGTCACTAGCTACACAGTACACTGATTCTGCCTCATTATTTCTGCATCGATAGTCATACTCATAGTGATTGATTTTCCGCGCCAAATTCCTGACGCTGCATGCATGCATGTCCTATGCGCGTCAACAGTACTTCACACTTTCCTTTTCCCCGCGTTATCATCTCAGCTAGCTATGCCAGTTTTGTATGGGAAAACACTTCACAAGTTTTCTTGTGATGATTATCAGTTTAATGGAGTACATCAGTGAGTGTTGAACAAAGAATAGCAAGGTACACGGTATTAAACAAATTGATGTGTCAAGTGAATGTACAAAGACTAAGTAAGAAAAGTAAGACCTGATGACCATTACAAGACAACGTTCTTAGAGACAACCAATCGTTCCTTGATGATGATTGTGTTGTACTAGTGGATGCATGATGACATAGAATGACTTCGCACTTTATCATTAATTCTTATTCATTGCAATTTTAGGGTTCACGGATTGGCATGCTAGCGTCGCCAGCTACATCATGCACGTGACAGGCGCGTGCATATACTGTCCCACACAATCGATCAGTGCTCAAATCGCATTTTCCCATCAATATCACTCACTTTCAACTCTACGGGATTCATTACGGTTGGCTCAAACTGCCTGAATTTTTGAATCCACACGCACGAAAGACGTTCCAAGACTTCCACCGTTCGTATTTTTTCAAACGAGTTCCGGGTTTTCCAGTAACTTTGGCCAAAGTTCGGCTAAAAAAACAGGGGGAGCCGTTGCGTTTCCGTAAAATACTGAACGGTAGAAGGATAGCCAAGGTCGAGAGCAAAACAACAAGCCATTATTTGTCAAAATCGAACAAGAAACGGCTCAGCGCATCTATTTTCCGTGCACGCGCGCGTACTTTGGCCGACAAGGTGTGGAGAATTTCTGAAGAAGAATAACAAGAGCAGCAGCGCTCGGAACAGCCGTGCTGGATACTTCCAATCCCGACGATGGAGCGTGTTGGCTGTCGTGAGCTGCTGAAACGACCACGACATTTCTTTTTCTTTGTATACCCTACATATCTTGACGTGCCCTAGCTCAGTTTCGGCCTCTTTACAGGAAGAATATTTTCTTCCATGGCATCAGCGGCCAAACAGCAAGAAGAGCAACAGATCGAGATTTGCAGGGCAAACAAAGGATGCGTGCAGCTACATCTAGTCGGGTTCGATGCAGCTGCGCTTTGCCAGAACCTCAGCAGATAAGAAAAGACGACAGAGTGTCTCAGATGGAACTGGATCTTTCGCCAAGACCGCCACCGCCGCCATCATCAAGTCCAGGTCAGTCAGAAAAATGCAAAGCCCGAGTGAAGTGAAGCCACTGAAGCCAAGGAAAAATTCAAAAAGTACGCTCTCCGGCTAGACTTCGAGTCGATATTTTTTTACTTCGATAGGCGCTGTCGCGGCCTGTAGCGCGCGTCCATAATCCAAAATGGAGGCGCACGTGACGGGTGCTTTTAGTGGCAAGCCGTGAACCCTAAATTTTATAATACGGAGGGTTAGCAAGACGAAATTCGCGTTCGCGTTCGCTCTCCAAAGAAAGTCGAACTCAGTGACGGAATTCGCGTTATGAGAAGGATTAGCAAACAGAATTCGCACATGTATGACGTTGACACGATGTAGGCAGTACAGTGTAGTAAATTTATGACTGCCCTGACACGAATCCACGATTCGTGTTCCGACTACTTTTCCGAACGAAAAATGCGAAAGTTCGCAATCCAGTTCGCGAACTGAAAAATGTTTGCGAACGCGAACGCGAATTTCGTCTTGCTAATCCTCCGTAATATTAGGCTCGCTTACCTAGGCTTGGAGCTGTCCGTCTCTCTCGTTCTATACGTTGGCATAATCGGCAGATATCGCAAAGATGCACAGGACGTAGATCCAGTGCTAGTAATGCTGGGAATACTCCGCCATGCCCCTGCTCGAGCTAAGCAACTCATCTCGACGGTCTCACAGTCTCAGCTGTACTAGTACAATGTAGATCGACGAGGTTACAATAATTATAATAATTATTATAATAATAGTTCCTGGCAGACTACATTTTATAAGGCAAGGGTGTGGAAACTGGAATGATCCCACTACACTCCCTGGTTTGAACTAACTTCACACCACACGTGCAGGCCATGCAAGGCCGGCTCATCTCGCGGATCGGATCCTTGCGCGCGCGCATACATGTACACCAGGGAGTCGTCAAATACCGGTATTTGACGACTCCCTGATGTACACGTAGATCTACGTCTACTACTTGTACTAGTACAAGTAGTAGTACACAGTCCGTGCGCCAGACCCTGTTTTGGCCCGAGTTTTATTTTCTGCGCGGGAACCATACATGCAGACGTTATGCAGGGAAAGATGACGACGCCGGTCAGTAAATTGTTGGTCGATTTGTTGCCTACCTGATTGATTGATTGATTGATTGTCCAAAGGCCGCAGAGGCCTCGAGGCCAGTCGGTGAAATGAGGGCTTCCTTCTTCAAGAAATATGTTGCCAGTCGTTAGTCGGATGCCACTCGTCTTCTAAACATCGTACTTGATGCAACCAGCGCAGTTGGATGGACGGGAGGCGAGGAATTTATCGTTTTCGATTTTCACCCTATTCTGGGTTGCCATTACATTGCAGCTGGCAGCACCACGAGGGAATTTTTTGCACAAAGGAGACTAGGTGAATTCAACTCCTCAGAGATATCGCCATAACAGGGTAAGGTTATTTTAGCCCTGAAATTGTGTACAAACCAACGGCACGAATTATGGAAATATTTATTTTTTCGCAATAATTGCATGTTGGTTGAAAAAATGTAGCCATCTTTGTATTGTGGCATCCTGGCGGTGTATTTCGTAACTATACCGCATGACAATATTATTTATGAGAAATGGCAGTGATTGCAGCGATTGTGAACAATGTACAATCAACAGCATTGGCAACATTGATGCAGAGCTGTATGGTACTTTAGTACAATTTGCCTGTATATTGGTATTTTACACACAATGCATGAAACAGAAGAGCAAAATTATTATTGACTTATCAATTTATAGCTAGGACATGAATATGAAACCCATAACCAATGCCAATGACCCAGGGTCTGTGCATCTGCATTCAAATATATAAAAAATCCCCTGTGGCATAATCATGTACTCTGTGCATACACATGCTTGGGGGGCGATACTTGCTGCTTTACATGGTGGAAATTGTGGTGCTATGCTGCTTGGTATGTGTGTGCGTGTGTGTGTCTGTGTGTGTCTGTGTGTGTGTGCGTCTGTGTGTGCACACTTCACTTTCCGGCTGTGTATTGATGCCTATGTAGATATCACCATGATCAACAGGGTCAAACGCTTCCAGCGGACAACAGTGGATCACCTCATTTCTCCCACTGGAGAGGTCCTAGCTTGAAGTGATGTATGACTATCAATTCTATTGACTAGCCTTGAGGCATGTACCAAACGTCAGCATGTCTGTGATATCAATACATCACACTTACATTTGAAAGCTATATGCTGGAATGCAGTCAAGTGGGCTTTTCGTCAAACACAACCCTACCAATGAAATGAAGGCAACGGGCAGAGACCACTAATGGTAGGGCCACACAAGGTGGCTGTGCCAGTGGGGAAGACCCAGCTCAACAAGGTGTTATTGCAAGTTTGATCGGAACAGCACCCTGGTCCAAATCCTCAATATCAGTGAATCTTACTGGTCTATGTGGCTGCTGCCTTGACTCGTGATGCCCACGATTGGATGCAAGCTGCACGAAGTATGTTGCAAAGAAGAGTACAATGGATCTTGAACTTAGCACGAGAGGCGTGCACTTCGTTGATAACAGCAGAACCTTTGCATGACTATCATAACACTCTCCTTATTGCAATATTTAGCCAATGCTCCATTTGTTGTAGCAGCTACCACACAACTACAAGTATGCATTCATTACCTGGCTGGCTTGTATAAACTTGTGAATGCAATCACGTGATGCTTTGTGCACATATGCTCCCATACTTTAGCGGGGGTGTGTGTGTGCATGTTTATGGGTGTGTATGTTCGTGCACGTACGTACGTGTACATGTCTGTGCGTTTACATGTACATGCGGACGTGTGTGGGTCTGTTGAAAAAAGCGCATGAACACGTGTCAATTCACGTGTGCATGTATGTACGGGTGTATGGTAAACGTATTCTTTGCTCCATGCGTCCGCCGTGAATGAAGGTACGAGACGTTATGTGTCATAGCTTGTGGCGGTTGTTCTGTAAAATTTAATAGTAGCACCGTATCCTGGCCATCCGCAGATGCCATTTTTTCACTTCAATTCTGCATTGGCTCAGGTGCTGTGTTTGTAGTGTCATCCTCTCTGCATGAATTATTTATATTTCTTTCCCGCCTCAGTACTGTATTTGGCTTGATATTGTTGCTGTTGTACATACAAGTACAGGCACATGCATTGATCTGCGAGGGTTTGTGTTTGGAGCTCCAGCAACCTGTTGGGGTTCGTGTTGTTTGTAAATTCGTGGTCTACGGATACAATGGTCTGGCTGGAACATCGCAGAATACTAGGACCCCTTGAACGATTCTGTCGGTCGTTCATAAGTCCACCAATTGAAGACATGTGTGTGTCAAAATGTGTCAAAAATAGTACAGTGTTGACGAAACGGTTGGTATCACCGATGTCGGATTTTTTGCACAAGCCAAAATTGGAGGATACACTGTTGGCTAATACCTCTTTCTAATTGAATAAGCAGGAAATAGCGAAACCCTTGTACAAACCAACGGCACGAAATTATAGCATGTTCAACCAAAATATCAGCGACATAACGAAAACGCAAGCGACGAGCGACAACTCAATTTCTCGTTATTTGTTTTCGTCACGGACAAAACTTAGGGCAGAGAACAACTATTACTAGTATCAAGAGTACATAACCCACTCTTGCTAGTATAAGGCTGTGTTTACATGAAGCGTTTCAACCCGGGTTGAGTTCGACCCGGGTCAGATTTCAACCCGCCATGTGCACAAAGTGAATGGCGCGTTTACATGACGCATTGCGCTTGACCCGGGTTGAAATTTCGCCCCGGGTTGATTTCAACCCTCCCCTTGGGGGGAGGGTTGAAATCAACCCGGGTCAAGAAAATCGTACAAACGTACTTCTGTGCGTATCTCGCGCCAGGTTTGAACAGCACTGCAGATGCAAATTTCGCGCGAAAGGATTCACGTGACCATACAGGACTGTAGAAGTGGACTTTTGGCGGCATATCAGTATTTGACCCGGGTCAACTGTCTTCATGTAAACGCTCACCTCTTTTGTTTGTCGTACAGACTTTCAACCCGGGCTGAACTCGACCCGGGTTGAAATTTCTCATGTAAACACAGCCTTAGGTTGGATTTCGACAACGATCTGAGACGAAGAACTCACGGGAGACGTAAACCAGGGAGTCGTAAAATATGGTATTTTACGACTCCCTGACGTAAACCAAAGGACGACGAAGGTGACGCCATTGAGTATTCGTCTCGCGATATCTTGAGAAAACTGCGAAATCTGGCAAATCTGGAAAATAAAAGTGCAACTTTTACGACGACTTTTTCTGAACTGGCGCACGGACTGTACACGTGTCCAGAAAAGACTCCAGATCAGACTCGACCGCGTACCGCGCCGGACCGGTCGCGCGCGTGTACAGTACAGTCTAGTCAGTACTATTTTTGCGAAGAGCAGCCTGTGACGTTAATTTTTTATGACAGAAAACTGCAAAAAAAGTTGGGCTTGTCCCTAAAGGCCGATTCACAATACAACTTTCTGCGACGCGACATGCGACTTGCGACACATGCGACGAGCTGCGACAGCGACACACGGTTCACAATATTCTTCATGTTTGCGACATCCTCATGCACAAGTAGTACTATGCACGTGCACTGCACGTGCACCCAGGGTCGAAACTGTACTCCATTTGTGTATGTCGCGTGTCGCATGTCGCAAAAGTTGAACTTTCTTCAACTTCTGCGACAGGTGCATTGCGACAGCTTGCGACAGGTTGCGACAGCTCGCGACAGGCAGTTTCTTGTCGCAACTGTCGCAAATCGCGTGTCGCGTCGCAGAAAGTTGTATTGTGAATCGGGCTTTAAGCCCGATTCACAATACAACTTTCTGCGACGCGACACGCGATTTGCGACAGTTGCGACAAGAAACTGCCTGTCGCGAGCTGTCGCAAGCTGTCGCAAGCTGTCGCAAGCTGTCGCAATGCACCTGTCGCAGAAGTTGAAGAAAGTTCAACTTTTGCGACATGCGACACGCGACATACACAAATGGAGTACAGTTTCGACCCTGGGTGCACGTGCAGTGCACGTGCATAGTACTACTTGTGCATGAGGATGTCGCAAACATGAAGGATATTGTGAACCGTGTGTCCCTGTCGCAGCTCGTCGCATGTGTCGCAAGTCGCATGTCGCGTCGCAGAAAGTTGTATTGTGAATCGGCCTTATAAAGGCCGATTCACAATACAACTTTCTGCGACGCGACATGCGACTTGCGACACATGCGACGAGCTGCGACAGCGACACACGGTTCACAATATTCTTCATGTTTGCGACATCCTCATGCACAAGTAGTACTATGCACGTGCACTGCACGTGCACCCAGGGTCGAAACTGTACTCCATTTGTGTATGTCGCGTGTCGCATGTCGCAAAAGTTGAACTTTCTTCAACTTCTGCGACAGGTGCATTGCGACAGCTTGCGACAGCTTGCGACAGCTTGCGACAGCTCGCGACAGGCAGTTTCTTGTCGCAACTGTGTTAAGCCCGATTCACAATACAACTTTCTGCGACGCGACACGCGATTTGCGACAGTTGCGACAAGAAACTGCCTGTCGCGAGCTGTCGCAACCTGTCGCAAGCTGTCGCAATGCACCTGTCGCAGAAGTTGAAGAAAGTTCAACTTTTGCGACATGCGACACGCGACATACACAAATGGAGTACAGTTTCGACCCTGGGTGCACGTGCAGTGCACGTGCATAGTACTACTTGTGCATGAGGATGTCGCAAACATGAAGAACATTGTGAACCGTGTGTCGCTGTCGCAGCTCGTCGCATGTGTCGCAAGTCGCATGTCGCGTCG